AAAAAGGGAAAGAGAGGGGGGGGGGGGGGGGGGGGGGCAAGTTCGAACGACTGTGGTTGCTCGACGAACATGGCTGCTCATATAGATGACATAACAAACGTATCTGCCAGATTTAGGCAAACTGGTTGGGGAGGCAGCAGTGATGGGCGAATCGCGCCACCTATCCACATATTAAAGATGGGTGATGGGTGATTAAAGGTAAGCGTTCAATCCACTCCGGCTCAACACACCCACGCCATCCCTTTAACGAAAAGAAGATACGAAACGTGATAGAAACTGAAGAACTCACGCAATTCCGCTCTTTTTAGATTAGTACTTTGGTGACGACAACTAAACTAGTGAGGCCCATGCGCAGTCGGCTGACTATGAGGCCCGACCTGCCCACCCAACCTACCCACCTGGTAGTCGAAGACCGAGATGAGGTGCGAGGGGATCACGTCGTACATCCCTCGCATCAGGTGCCACAGCTGGCTGTGGGTGCCGTCCAGCACCCGGTGCTTGAGTCGGAGCTGCTCTCACACAAGGAAGAAAAAAGAAATTACACGTGCGCGCACACACGTCGCCATCGCATCAACCAAGTCGGACAAGAGCGGACGCAGGATGTACGCGTGTACTAATGGTTAAAGTTGGGTTCGAGAAAAAGGACCAGGTCGAGTTGCTGATAGGATACTACGCGCTTCGCCTATCAAACCCAAGGGAACAACTACACGTACTTGCTATCTTGCATGTTGGCTTGAACGAACAGCTCAAAGCGTCTCGTTTGTTCGTCGGTCGGTGGAAACCCCGCCCGCCCGCCCGCCCCCCCGCCCCCCTGAAGGCTAACCCGCCTTGACGCGAAACTACGTAGATGTGAAACTACGTTTGCAATCCTCCCCCGACCAACTCTACCACCACCACCACCGGCAGCCTCACCCTCAGGTATTCCTCCTTGTTGGCATCGGTGACGGTCATGTCTTTTCCTCCGGGCAAGAGCTCTGCCACCTCCTTCACCCCGAAGCTCTCCAGCGTCACCGTGAAGTCTAGACCCAGAGACTCCGCCCCGGGGTTTGCTCTGAGGAGACACAAGCAAATGGGTTAGACGGTTTGAGTTAGCGGAGAGGTCGGGGGGGGATTGTGTGTTGCTTGCGTGTACAATATCCATGGTGCTTGTTTCGGCACGTCTTACCCCCAACCAACCGAAACCCTGGGACGGTGATATTGTCAGTCTCACGGGTCTAAGACTGTGGCCACAGAGAGTTGGTTAGGACCCAAACATCCGAAGGGTTTACCGACCAATCACAAGAGGAGCGACTAAAGGTAGGATGCCTCCCTGAATGCAAGTACACGTGGCGACTTTCGAACGGAGACCATTCGGGTTTCTACACCAGCACCAACAAAACAGTTGGCGAGGCCTTCTGAATCGATTGCTCGGTGGAACTTCTGCCAGCCTTAAGACCACCAACAGGCCAAGGCTTCCTTCCCTGCCACAACTACACCCGCACCCCTATATGTGCCGAGGGTGAAACTATAGGAGAGAGGGGGTCAATCTTGATGCCACAACCTGCGTGAGAGATAGAACGCTTGGACTTCTTTCTTGGCAGACGCGTTCAACAACAGCACACGTACATTCCAATCTACCTCGACGAGGTGTCGCTACGCACTAACCTGAGCCACTGGAGGTTCCGGTAAAGCTCAGCGTCGGCAAACTCCAGGTCCGAGAAAGCCACCGGCAGGCCGAGCATGTGCTTGAGGATGGGAAGCGACAGGTGGTACGGTGCCACGCTGTGCTCCATCAGGAGCTTGCCGAGCACCTGGCGGGCAGGGGCACGGTTATACCAATGGTTTCGGGGTTACGCCAGGCCGGTAAATAAGGTGAACGGGTAGGACTACTCCACGTGGTAGCGGTGGCGGTTGAGGCAAAAGTATACAGTCACCGGGATTCGTTCGGCTTCACAACCAACTCTTTCGGCCACCTACTCTGTAGCTTGATAGACCAATGTATGCATAGCTGCTGCAAAGAGAGAGGAAGGGGGGCGAGAAGCAAACGGTCGGTGTGTGTGCGTGCGCCAACCGCCCCGAGTCTCAAGGACCACCAGGCCTGGCGCTCTCGCGATAGCGTTGGCGAATACTCGTACACTCTCCGCATGCTGGAAGCGTTCGGGTGCGCCTAAACTTGAGCCGGGGGAGCGGGGGAGTCAACACCCCGAGACTTTATCGACGCCTCAATCGCCACAAACAAACGCCGCCAACACAACAAGCGGCGCCCATGGCACACACCATCGCCACAACAACACCCATTCACCGCGACAAACCTACCCCCCCCCCGCGGCGCAGCCGCCGCCGTCGCCCTCACCCTTCCCGTGAAGCGGAAGTACTCCAGGTGCATCTCGTTCGCCACCCCGCTAGACGGGTTTATCGCGAAGGCCCCGTTGCCGAGCTGGGGGGTGAACAGGCCCGTCGAGGGGTCGAAGAGCGCGCTGCACACGAGCATGAACCACTCCCGCTCCAGGCCGCCGGCGTCAACGCCTGGCTCGCCCACGAACTGCACCTGCCGATGTCGAGAACGACGAAAGAAAGAAAGAGGTGGGGGGGGGGAGGGGGGCTAAACGCGTGCCGTAGTCGTTAGATCATAGACCTCGCATCCCTTCACTGCCGGGAAGGAACCATAAGGCGGAATTTTCCCCGGCCCAGGTAAAAAAGGGGGCATCTTAACGGGTAAAACATTAAACCCGCG